GCGTACCCAAAAAAAGTATTAGACAAACGGCAGGATAAAGAATAAATGATCATATTCATCTCCAAAGAAAGACTAAAGTTCCTGTTCGTCGCATCTTACCTTGTTTGCATCAATACGCCAGTTCAATCGTGTTTCTTGATGATATGACATGGTTTTGCCCCAGTGAAATCGGTGGTGATCTGGTGTGCATGATACGATACAATTTCCAGTTTATAAAGCTTTATGACCTGCCACCAGCCGTCTAAGCGCTCTTTCATGTTCTGCTGCTGATGACCACGCGAGTTCGCTCATTTTTAAAATGGCTACATCTCCAGGCATTAGCACGTAACTGTGGCAACTGAGAAAGGCATGTTCCAGTTGAAACCAGGGTCTCCCTGAGTGGCACTGCATGCTGTGTATTTCTGAATAGAAATTTTCTCCCATCAGTGTTACTTACCGTGATACGTTTTGCTGAACGTACGCGTTTAAAACCGATAATGGTGAAGAAATTATTAATACGTAAAAAAGGCGCAAAACAAAAACGTGTGACATTAAACTCTGCTGCTTCACCTTATTCTGAATCCACCGGACGTAGTCGGTTCTGATGTCGATGCTGTCTGCCAGCTGATCGATATAGAAGTTGTCGAACGGGATCTTCCGAATCGCCTTATTCACCTACATGTGCCAGTCAAGCAAGTCAGGCAGTCAGTAACAAACGTCAATCGTTGAAGTGTAAACCTTGTGCAAGTGCGACAGCAGTTCCAAACAGACTTTTGTCGCCGTCTCTCGAAACGTCGTCTGAAATACACATTTTTCAGGATTTTATGGAAGCGCTCACTGTCACGACAACAAATCTTATTACTTCTGTTGCCGATAGCTCCCTGAAGTTCTCTTTCTGTAAATTTAAGATATGAACCACCACTTGCTTGTACATCTGGAAATTACCCGTTAAATCTGTAAAACGCATTACAACCGCAATCCACCTTTAGAATGCGATTTAAGTGCCGAACCGGAAGGTCGTGCCACCATTGCTCTAAAATAAACAATAAATATTATTAAGGCATCAGCCAGGGACAGGACAGCAACCGATGATTTTCCACGGAACAGCACCGAGGCTGAGCATGGTGGTTGCCAAGGGAACGTGCAGCGTTCGGAAATTCTTACAGCTACTGAAAACGTTGCACCATGGTAGAACGAGGTAAACACGGAGGGCTTCGATATGCGGAGGTGAGCTGGTCAATGACGGCAGCAGTGACCACTCAAGTGCTTTGGCAATCTAAACAAGTCACTTGTTTCAACTGTCTACTGAAGACTACTGACAACTTTTTTTCTCACAATCGAGCAAATCGAAGAGTTTTAAAAAATGCACTATGGCTAACTGTCCTTAATTCAAAGTAACGCATCATGGTGCTAAAGGAAAAACTGAGCAAACTGTACAATTCAAAATTATGATACCAATGCCGATGAAAGAGTAACCGCAGGAGAGATAAAACAAATAGTTTATAAAGCCGATTCAAGAAAATCTGGATTTAAAAAACTAAATAAGAAATACGAAAAAGGTCAAGATCAGATGAATAAATGCGAAAATAGATGGGAGCGGAGGTCAAAATTGAACAGAAGTACGTGCGTGGAAGATAAAAAAAACGTTTTCACAATTATTCATTTCTTCATTAGCATATCACCAAATGTGCACACATAAATAGCAGCAAGTCGAAAGGAGGCATATGAACAACAGAAACAGTATAAGGTCATCATGTGAATCTGTTACAGCTTGGTACGGCAATGGCAATGATGTATAAAGTGAGCGGTACGGCTGAAATTTGATTGGAACCATCTGACCAAAATCAAAACAAACTACAAAACCTTAAGTCAAACAACTTTAAAAATTTTCATAACTTCATGTTCATCTTCCATCGCCGCTTCTCCTCTCAGGTCGCGGAGGCAGACACGTCAGACAGTGCTTCTCACGTTCCCGAACCTGTGCCAGAGTCTGAGCTACGGAAAAAGACAAATGCTGTCTGGAACAGACTCCTTCCACATGTTTGCACCAGGTTAATCTTGGCTGTCCCCTTGGCCTTCTGCCGGTCGGATTTGTAAGGAACAGTTGCTTAGCCT